TGAATATCTCATTTATGGTTCTTATTATGGGTAAATTTTTAGGCGTATCAAAACGTCCTGGAGAACAAAGGAATCCGAATTTCGATCCTTCAATTCCTACTTCACCAATTTTAATAAAATTCATTGCGATAATAGAAGGCTTCAAAACTCGGAGTTAGGTAACTCGGTGGATCGAGATGGGACGTATTAAGTTTTAAAGATTTCAATATTGGCATTTCGACCAGGTTTAGTTTCGGGTCTTGTTTAAATTAGGCCCGCCAGTGATTTTTTAATGATATTTAGTTGTTAGCAGTTGTTATGAAACTTGATACCATTGATATAAAAATAAAATCAGATGTTTAAATATTATTTAATTTAGTATTGTTTGTGTAATTGGGGTTATAAAGTGATAACACGATGAATATTTTTGAGGTTTACTATTTATGCAAAGAAGAGGAACGAACCAGGATTTGAAGAAAGAGGAATTCTACCTACGGAAAGTTATTGTAAAAAAGGCCACATGAAATTTTACGAAGATAGGAAAAAATATAGGTGCATCTAAATGCCGGTATGAATGTGGCACGTATTATGGGTACGTGATAAAATCCTTAAGGACATAGTAGAATTTTGGCTTCCAGAGGTGAATGAGGAAATGAGATACCTGGAGTAATTTATTAAAAGCATGTTAATGTTTTTGGTTATGTATAAAAAGTTCATGTTAAATAAATCATATGTTTCTTTCACCCATATATTTTAATTTATCAATAAGTAACTGTTACTAGATAAAATAACTGGCGTGCCTAATCTAAACAAGATCCTTAGTTTCTTTGTAGCGTAACAGACTCTGCGTTTCTAAGCTCGATAATGTTGTTATGAAAAAGAAGAAACTTTATTTTCTGATAATTCAAAAAGTTTAAATGTAGATCATGCTTATGATAATTAGATATGTTTCCAAATTTCCTATAAAATCCAAAACGATTCATATAAATCGAACCATTTTATTATTTTGACTGAACCATTGCAATCTATCAAGGAAAAGAAAATTATTAATTTCTTCATATCGTAATCCGTTGTATTTATTTATTTATTTTCGTATTATATTGTCATATTTTTATTCACTGGCCAATATTTTAATTACTCACTCGGGCCAGCTATTATTTAATAATTTCTTTGATTAAACTAAATAAAAAAATAAATGTTTTTATTGAGCATATTTTTTTAATAATTAAATTAACTTTAGAGATTAATCGTTCTAATTCATATAACTTTTGATTTCTCATTACCAGAGTTTAAAAACATTCGTTTTATTTTATATTCTATATATATATATATATATTATTTTTTTTAAATTTCGTTTTGTTACAACAGTCATAAATAACCATTTATGACTGATGTAAGTAATAAGCATTTATGACCGTTTGTCCTATATAACCTCCTTATTTTGAAAATTTGGGGGTGTAGGCCACGCTCAATATTTTTGAAGACCACATTTTTTTTCTCGAATTTGAGATTAAATTATCTTACGTTCCAAGTAGAAAGCAAATGTGTATTTACGAGTTTTTAGTGCCTAATTAAATGGACAAAGTTTGCCTCCCTCCAGATTGAAAACTTCCAAATCCAAGATTTTTCGTAAATAAAATAGTTGTGGGTTACGATGAGATGAAACTATTTACGAGTTTCAGGCGGATGTTAATAATTCGATAAAAAAGGTCTCTGTACCACGGGACTATCTGGTAGTCGAGTGAGATTTCGAATCTTGGTTTTTTCTGTTTTTTTAATGTTAGATTATGTTGTTTTTGAATACTTGATATCTTGGTTCTTTAGTGTCCTATTATTTTAAGTTCATTATTTTTTTTTATTGATAATGTTTTTTTATAGAAATTTAATTTAATTATTTTTCTCCTGGTATTTTTGGCGGGGTTTCTTTCAATTCCTGGACCTAAAAACAGCTATCATGTAGAGGGCAGTCCTAAGATGTGGGTTAATGGCCAATTGTACATCGTACCTAACACATTTTGGAGATCATTTGTGATTAGAAATCAGTGGGTAAGTAGTGTGTGGTTCATCTCCTCAGTCTTGTTTTAACAACCTCTTGTCTTCTGCTGTTACGGTTAGAGCTTTTCTATGCCTTAATTTTTAAGTATATTTTTATTGTTGTTAAAACAATGACTACAATATCAGGTTAACTAACATATATTTATATATTATTTTAAACACGCGTTTTTTGTATCACCACTTTTTCATACTTTGGAATGCTTTTATCTTGAGTTTTTTAAATTCCCATAGCATGTTAAAAACCCGCAGGTGTTTGTTATATCAACATCTGGCTATATCCAGAGCAGGTGTTTTTTCTTTCGCCCCATCAGGAGAAAGTACCTCTTCTTTATGTCATGCAATTTACATAAGAGATGGAGTTTTCAATGGGAACTCCGGGTCGTAGTGATGCAAACCTTTTTGTATATACAGCGATGCTGTTTTAAATCTTTTAAAGAAGCTTATTAAATTCGATGGTGAAATTTTATATAGTACCTTTCTTTATAGCGTTTTCAGATTTTTGCTTTCTCTTTCAGTATATAATCACACATTTATAACCCTCGTATATATATTTTTTTCATTCTATTTGTGCTTTTTTTTTTCCTTGGTCGATTATTATTTATTTGTTCCCAGAATTCTGATTTTGTTGTGTATTCTTTAATATTCTAATGTTTTATTTTTTGATTTCTTTCGTAATAAATGTAATTATATTATTAGACTATTTTTTTTTCTTAAGATCAATTATTTTCCGGTAACCGTTGAATACATCTAACAAGAGTGGAGAGTGATGACATATAATGGGATAATAATTCAGTGAGTAGGCACTATGTTCTGGGTTCGAGTCCAGCTGTGGTTTATAGAAATTATTTATTCTATTACTTCAGTCCTAAATTTATAAAATGATTATAACTAAGGGAAAACTTGGCGGTTAAGGATGACCTTGGTTTAAACAGCATTTTATTAGTTTTTTATGTGTAAATATACAAAGTAGAGTTAAAAGAAATTACTACAGCCACACCCTCCGTCCCCACCAAACCTCCGATATCCATCCAGTTTTACTTTAAGTTTTTAGCTGGATATGAACGGTTTTTTTATTTAAAATTTACCATCTCAATCTTATTTACACCATTTACCACTTGAATTCTAATTTCTGCTGCAGCTAATATTCATACGATTCCATGTGCCTTCTGGGCTCTGTATTTACGGGTTTATCATTGTCTGGTTGTTTATTGTCACTCTTTATGGATGGTAGTAAATTTTAATTTAAAATAAATTTTAATCCATAATTACGTTCATCCATCTCAATTATTAGGAAAGAATATTTAAAGATAATTTTTAACGCTCATAGCTCCGCACCTATAAATGCTAGTAAGCAAGACTTTGCACCATTCATCAGAACAAATTTGCTTTTTGAAATTACATTTATTTATTTTTCTAAATGACAAAAGTATGAATTAAGTTTCACACCTTTTTTATATCGGTTTATGGCGTTATTCGCTCACAACTATTGAGATAAATGTTGTTTATTCTTAGTACTCAAAGTAATTCCATGTCTTTGAGTACACTCTACACTTTTAATTTTTAAGTATAAATGCCATGAGATAAGGTAATTGACTCACATGTTTAACTCCAATATAGTTTTAAGACAGTGTTCTCTAAGACACTAACCTTTCGTGTAAATGGCCTCGTATTCCATTCATTGGGTGTGGGCAGACATTAGCGTAGTGAATTTAATAACAGTGATGACATAAGTGGTCATCAGGTTTATTTTTGGAACTTGCGTGTAGAAGAGTCAATTTTATACATGATCTATTCGAAAGAATGTAAAATAAGTAACGATTTAGTGAAATTAGTGTGATCTGTGACAGATATTTTTTGCAATTTTGTCTCGTTTTATTATACTTGTTAGTTATCTTAACCTTTTACAATAATTTATTGGCATTATTGTCTTTTGTTTTAACATTATTTATTGCCCACAGATAAGCAACACTAAATTTACAAAGAGTTGTAAAAAAAAAATTATTCTCTTCGCACATTTTTAGATTTTCCATAATTGTGGAATAAAGATTTTTGGCTTCTATCGTCCTACGTTCCCCAAGTTCATTCTGCGATCTCTTTATATATATATTTCATTTCCCTTAAAACCAAAGATGAAAACCTTATAGAAATCTTCCATGTGCATTTGCGAATTAACACCTAACAGACCCTAGACCGTGTTAAATTGAAAATGCTAGCGGCAACTTTTAACTCGTAAATTTTTAAAAGCGTTTATAGACTTAAACACATTTAAGAGGTTTTCATTAATCAGCAGTGGTTTCATTAACATCCACACCTATTATCATTTAATAAATACTATTATGTATTTTTCCCTCTTTTCTGTCACAGACATATTTTAATCTGAGCTGGAAAATTAGGAGTGCAGTGCAACCCATGTCTGAAGCCATAAATGATTGTTATAATATATTCTAATATTTTAATAGTTAATCCTAAGGCAGGAACAAGATAAATATATTTATATAATTCAGTTCATCGATATGGTGAAGCTCATAGACATGAGATCTTGCAAAATACTCCTTTTCAATTCAATGTGTAGATCAGTTGATTTATCTGTTAGATTGAAACCTTGTTGATAGTTCGTCAAGTTAGTAGTTACTAAAGCATTAGTTCTCATTGAAATAACTTATGTTTTCTATTCGTTTTCTTGTTGCAGAAATTTTTCTTTTATTTAGGGTCATAATATTACCACGGACGGGCAGTTTTACCTACACGGACGGGGTCATAATATTACCTATTTCAGTTTTACTTCCCATTGAAGTTCGCCACTCCGTTCCTCAGGGAAAGTCCGTTAAACCTTATTACCCTCATAATTCATCCATGTTTTTTTTTCTCAGTCATTAACTCCGTCTTTTTCTGGGTTAATGGTTTTGTTAATTTTTGAAGATGCTTTCGTTGGAAAATTTATATAGCCTTTGTTATTGTTTGCTTAAATGGTCCGGTCGTCTGGGAAAGTGAGCTTTTGGCTGTTTACTCGTGTACACGGGACTTCCTTTCACTTTGTTAACAATTATCCGAATGATGGGTTTTCCTTTCGGGCGTCGTAAAATGTTTATGTACTCTTATAGCAAAGCTGCGACGTACCTAATTTAAACCAAAAGCACTACGTTTTTCCGCTCACGAGTAGCGTAATTGGCTTGGCTTACTACGTGTTAGACCCGTGGAACAGAAGTCAAAGGGAAAACTGACTCACTTCCTGACGATGCAATTTATTCAATGCCGTTTGCATTACAAATGGTTGGGGGGCATTACTTCTTGCCAAACCTCTACAACTCCTGTTGACTACTAATTGCCGGCCAAAGCTAGTCAGAATTCTCGACTTCATATTGTCATAGGTCTTCATGGTAGGTGTTCTTGATGATTGAAAATGCCCAATTTTTGGTTATTTTTATCATGGAATATTCATTTATTGATCATGAAAATAAAATTAGTCTGTTAATTTCCCTTCTTCCTGAAAATTAAAACTAATATGTTATGTAATTAGTATTACTCCTTTTTAACTTCCAACATCAAACTCCACGATTGTTAGCTTGCATTGGTTGGAGGGAGTGAAAAAATTATATTAAGTAATAATGGTAGAGAAATTGTCGACTGTTAATTCTTACAAGAGAAGTTGGTTGAGAATTGCATTCGTAGAAAGCACACGAAAATATATTATATTTATTTTCTTTATGCCGATGTTTCTGCCTAAGTTTCAGGCCTTTATCAAGCAAAGATGAGATAATAAATAATCAAGGTAACAAATAAATATTTATTTATTTGTTATCTAGTCTTTGCTTAGCCCTGATGAAAGCCTGAAACGTCGGCACAAAGAAAATAAATATAATTTATATTTGGGTGTTTCTTATGACTGCAATTCCTAATCAACTTCTTCTATGATAAAGGAAAAATAATTAATACCTATATTTTTTAATATACCTATATAATTAATTAATACCTTATATGTTTTTGCCCGGAGGTAAAAAGAATCCATTTTTGTCCATGTCGATTTTTTTATTAAATAATTTAGTTACTAATAAAACAATATTAACAGCTCAAAGTTATGGAACATTGGCTCCCTAGAACAAATACAAAAATGAACATGGTGTTCTTTATCTTTAGGGTACAGATTTATTTTATTTATTTTGAAAACTAAGAATTTGTCATGTGGACAATAATTATTGTGAGATATGAACACATTCACACCATATATACAGAAAACATAAAATTAACAAAAGTAAAATAATAACTAAATAATAATCAAACAACCATGTACAATAAAAAATAAAATAACCTAAAGATAAGTAAATCTGTATAAATAAAAGAAAATTATTAATACTGCTATGAGAACATACATATGAGCAACTACTGATTCGTAGCACTTCAATGATAAATGTATTGATTGTTTTTTTTTTAATATATTCTTCGAGTCGGAATGTTTATTCTCAAACAAAGCTCGAATTTAACATAAATAGAAAAATTAAGTGTGTTGTAATATTTTTCAATTCCTATTGAAAAACTTTATAGTAACATTTTTTTTCATTAAGCTCTTCTAACTTCTCATACCTTAACTAAATTATAAAAATATTGCTGAAATTTAAAAAAAATAAATAAATATGAATATATATTTTTCTCTATACCGCATTATTCTTTTGATAATTTATAATTAAAGAAATAATAAGAATAGATAAAACTAGTGCAAGTTTTTAAAATATTTCAGAAAAACTTTATAGTGATATTTTTTTTTTTTTCATTAAGCTCTTCTAACTCCTCAATGCATGCTCTAACTGCTCTTCTAACTATAAATGCATTATAATATTTTTATTTACGTTCTGAGATGTTCTGATTCTAGTACAACTTAGTACTTCGGTTTTAGTTTTATCTTGTAGTTCATATCAGGTTCAATATCCAGGCGCTCTCTATATTTTCATTTTATGTAATAATTTATCTTTTGGCGGGGTTCTTTCTAGGTATCACACGGTCACGTGACTTTTCATGGCCTATTTGAATTTTATCTCTTTTTATTTCTATGTTTATATGGAGTTATGGTACCATATAATTAGGTCACACTGATTTGTGTCTATCCAAAATATATGATTGATCATATGATAATCAAATTGATGATCACTTCTTTTTTACTTTGTCGAGAACTTGCGATCTTCTTTGACAGAAACGAACCTATTGTCGAATTGCCTACTCGAAATATTCCCAGGCTACACACATGGCGAATGGTTATGTATTCCATAACTGTTGCTGTTTTTGTGTAGTTTTGAGGCTATCAAGAGCATTAGCGACCTCTTTCCCAGCACTTCCTCATCCTGGAACAATTGAATGCGAACTTCCGCTTCCATCGCCATTAACCCAAATAACTACCGGAGCCAGGTGTGTGACCATCGCGTTTCTGCCCGCCTCTAGATCATCGAACTCTCCGGGTCTCCTTGATCCTTGAACCGTATTGTGCCGGTTCTCCATAAAATATAGATGTTAATAATGGTTGCGGCAGGTGTTTTCCTTGAACTTTGAAAACACAACGCAGCGTTTTTCTTACTGCCTCTATGACAAAACGTAAAATATCACAATGTGATCGATCTGTAGAGTTTAACAACTTTACGTTACTGAAATGTTATAATACATTTATGGAATAATTGTGATTATTTAATTTATTTTTTAGTTAATTTATTCATCTTAAATATATAAAATATAAGTTAGGATTTCGGACTACATTAACTATGAGCTGAATGAGTTGAAAAACAGTTATTAAAACTTAGCTATATTGTCCGGAGTTGAGGTCTGGGACTCCAATAAGCCATCAAATTCCTCTCGTAGCCAATCCTTACAATCCAAAATCCTCACTGCTCCTTAACTTTGTCTCAAATAAAATCATCCATAACGACCTTAATGTTCTTTATGTTTCTGACCTGGCCCAATCCAGATACCCATCCTTCCATGAAAAACTTCAGAACCATCCAAACCCTCTCGTTTCTAACCTTGCTTCTTCTTCGATCCCTGGCAACTTTTCGAGGCTTCTGAAAAGAAGATGGCCTCGATATCTCCTTCTGTAAATACATTTTTAGAGTGCTGCCAGTGGGTAGTTTCTCAACAAGTGGTTTCATGTTATTATATTATTTTGTTCACATTTACTGAATGTATTTTTATTTATAAAACAGTTGTATGCATGAATAAAAAAAAGTTATATTAAGATCCATGAGGACTAACCAGAAGTTATCTTACCACGTTTCAAAAGTGAAATATTTTCATCCCTATCCTAATAGAAAATCAATGAGATTTATCTTGAGCTTAAATGTGTACCAATGGTTTAATCAGAAATTATTTCATTATAATATAATCGAAAAATAATAAATACAATAAAAAAATATGAGAATAGATATATTTTTACATATTTGCACCTATTTTTTTTTCTGAACCTCTAGTTCTGTATTAGAACGTGTAAAGAATTTTTAAACGAGGTTGCACGAATGACGAAGGATTTTTCAAAGGATGCTGTCCTGTGAAAAGGGATATTCTAATTGATAAATTGAGATATTGTATTTAAGAGAAGGATGAAAGGATTCAGGGTGAGGTAAAATATGCACATGTTTTTAGTTCTCTACTTTTGGAATACGAATACAGCAAGAAGCTATTGTCGTGGGGAACTAGTATAAAACTGAACATACTCGGATTGCAATAAGTCAGAAAGTGTGGTTACTTAAAAAAAAAATACTACAGAGACATAATCAACAAAATCCTGAAATGGTCCTATTTTACCTCTTCAGACTACTTCAAACTTATTGTAGATGACTAAGACAGTTTAAAAGTTCTTTTCTGGCCTTGCGATAAAAATATTTTAGCATCTCAGTTGGATATACTTCGTGGTATGGAACACCTGTTTGGAAGAGACACCCAACTGGATCCAGATATAGAGAGACACATCAGCAGGTAAATATGTAACCCTCGTCCTGGCGTGTACTCCTGCGCGGCTGGTCAATACTCTGCCTATAACTCGCTATTCTTAGCGTATAGGCTCGTTTATAGTCCGGCCCAGCTCCTCGGCTGATGGATGTGTCCGCTGGGTATTCTCGTACTGGTCAAATTGACGTCAATGGATTTGTTTGTCGGATGGACATGTTTGGACGTCTGTCTTCATAGTCCGCGTCAAAACGTTTCCTCACGTCTTGTCGGAAACCGGATACAAATAATTAATAATGAGCTCTTGAGCATACTGTTGCAATAGTGCCATTCCTTTCTCGCTTCGGCAATAAATTAAAAAACAAAATTTGTTTGGTAATTTGGTAAATTACTTATTTAATTTATTTTTAATTAGAATTTGAATCGGTAGAGACAAAATATTTATCGGTAATAGGTAAGAATGAACTTACCTGAGTCCAAAAAAGAAAAAACAAATTCAGTCAAGGAAGTTCAGAAGCTTGAGAAAGATATCTCAAATTTGAAATGAAAATGAAAAAAAGTATTTTATTCTGGTTCTAAGGTTCTCTAAGAATAATAATAACATGGTACAAAGCATTGGTCTATTAGTCTGGCTTGACAAAATACAAAGAGGTCCTTGTCATAGCAGTGTTAATTTCAATTGACATTGCAATCATATTTGAACAATACAGTACATTTTAAATGGTTTTTACATGTATACAACGAAAAAATATTTTATTTATCTATTTAAAAATGTAATTATCTGTCACGTAGACAATAATTATAGTGATATATGCAAACATTTACACCATATAAAATTAAAGAAAATATAAAATTAACAAAAGTAAAATAATAAGAAATAATAATCCAAAACTATGTACAATAAAAAATAAAACACAATAAAATCTAAAGATAAGTAAATTAAAAACACAGTCATACCTATATACAATCAGGTAGATAACCCCCAGCCAGGCTTCTCATTCCAACTTATATATAATTAAAATAAACAAATGACGTAAAATCAAGTGGAACTTGTCGATTAATTGTTAGTGAGCAGTTATAATTACAGAATCTAATAAGTATTACATAGGTGCGGAAGTTTAACCAGTGACGCGGCTAGGAGAGAAGCACTGGGATCTCCTGGAGTCCTGCCTTGCCTTCCACATTTAGAGGACAAAGCTTGATTCAGAGTCCCCTGGGCCAATGTAAATATTTTACATAGGTGTGAATGTGTTTTATTTATTTTATTATCATTCGGCTTTAATCTGTTATTTTACTTATCTTATATATGTATATACATATATATCTTTTTTTTCTCTCTTCTTACTTATTTATTTTCCTTTGTTATGTACATATTGTATGAATGGAAACTATAGCCCTAGTACCAATGCCCTTCAGTGTGGCAGACTGTATTAATACTCTATTAAATAAAATAAAGGCGCGAATGTTTGAAAATGAAGTAGGTGATGGAATAAGAGTGGTTTGAAGGAATTTATGGATGAGAAATGCCGTATGGTGATAAGTAAAAAAATTCCAGAAGGAGGTAGCTCGAATGAAGGGTTTAGTTTTGTGAGAAGGGATATTTAAATCAATAGGTTGAGATCTGGTATTAAGAGAATGGATAGAGGAGTCCCATAATGTAGGGAGGAATTTTGCTAATAATGGAGTTTTGATAATTTGCTGTTGAGATTCCGAATATATATACATATATTTTTTCTGTTGACATTACAGATCTTGCAGATATTTTGTCGACTTGGTTGGGACACACATGCTGAGCGATACTATGGTCTTACGGAGTACCTTCTCGATGAAATGACCGTTGTTTACTAACCTTACCTAAGTTTAAGCTAGGTTTCATCGAGAATACGGCCGTAGTGCGGCTCCGACTCCTTACGGATATAAGTGGATTATAAGTGCAGTGTGTATTGTAATAAGGTTATAGGCCATATGCCATATGTTAATGATATAATCTGGAATGTATATGTTTGGCGCTACAACTTACTGCGACGAGGACTTTTTAGAATATTAAGAAAAATCTCAAAAAAACAAAAATCAAATGGTATCCAATATGCTCTAGGTTAATGGAGGATCAACTGACGTCTAAGATGGGTTGTCTGTTCTATGCAAACAAGTCTTCCCTATCTGACTGATACAGCGAGAAGATAGATGTGTGTACCGAAGAAGATAAGATGTGTATGTTTGGTGCGTATGTCTACAGGGTGAGATATACCTGGGCAGAGGTGGGAAGATAGACGTGGCGCGTAGCCGACCCACTGGCCTGCTTCAAGTCTTCCGCTAACGGCCCATCTCCGCATCCTCCTTCACTTTCTTGGACCATTTTCTTTCTTCACGTCCTTCCGGGCATCGCCATCAACAGGATATGATTGCGGCAGTCCCCTGTCCTGAAGTAGTCCAACCTAAATCAGAATAAGGAGATAATAGAGCAGGATCTTTCACAGCAAGGATTTTAGTTTTGTGCTCAAAACAAGAAACAATCTTCAGATAAATAAATATAGCTGTTATCTCATAGATAGTAATAGATGCCCAAAGGTTTTAGTCAAATTATTAACACCCGCCTAAAACTTCGTAAATAGCTTGATGTCATTGTAACCTACAGCTATTTTATTTACGAAAATTCTCGGAATTGGGACGTTTTCGGTCTGGAGATCGGAAAGTTTGTTTATTTAATTATGTAGTAAAAACTCCTAAATACTCATTCGCTTTCCACTTGAATTGTAAGTTAATTTGATCACATAATCGAGAAAAAATGTGACCTCCAAAAATATTGAACCGTTTGGCGTAATACACGCCCAGCATTTTAAAATAACAAGGTTATATGGGACAAACGGTACAATATTTTTGTAGGTCACCTTTTATATCCAATTGCGATCCAATTTTAAGAGTAATCCAAATCACTCTTACGATCTAAGGGAAAAGCAAATGGGTATTTCCGAGTTTTTATTACCTAATTAAATAGACGAAGTTTGCTGATCTCCATTTTGAATATGATGATATGACTTTATGATTTTCATTGACTAATTAGAAATAAACTTAATTTCACTAACAAACAATAGTTCATATGTGTATTAGTATTTCGGTTCTCTTATATGAAACTATCAGGAAGGCAACCGTCAAAGACGGTTTTCCTATTCTGTATACTTCTCCTATTAATGCATATACAATAAAAAGAATGTTTGCTAAACCTAATGGTTTAATCATTACTAATTTTGAGTTGAGAATAACTTATATAAGAATGAATACTGGTCATCAACTTCTGTTCCCTGCCTACTTAATATGCGTAGATTATGCGTATTACCAGTTCATAGTTTTCTAAGGAAAATTAAAGACCTCTCCATTGTAATCTCTTGTACAAACTCTTTACCAATGAATGTGGACTTACACTTTGAAGAATACTTTCTGCAGTTGGATTTAGTGGTGATCTCATGAGAGTGTTCTTTTGGCGGCCTGGTTCTTGTACGTCAACTCTGGGACAACTCTGTTGACACCCCATCAGTATTCATTCCAACGGCGCTAATATTCAAGGAACGTCTTAGTGGAATCTCTTCCTGTGCTCATTACTTAAAGCTTACAATTTTCTGAAAAAAATCCAAGTGGGAGTAGAGAAAATATATTTTTAGAGACATATTGCAACCTAAACCATGTTTTTTTTCGAACAGTTCATTGACAAACGGAGGATAGTTATTAATTTTCCTCTTGACAAAAAAACCATACACCCCACACCTTGGAGTGCTTCCCAAGCTGTCTTTTATTTTCCCGTAATAGTAATAATCACATGCTAGCGAAATTGCATGAAAGTTTTAGACATGAATTTTAAAATAATATATATATATATATATATATATATATATATATATATATTTATATGCATATACATATATTCTATATTTATATGCATATACATATATTCTATATTTATATACATATACATATATTCTATATTTATATACATATACATATATTCTATATTTATATGTTGGCTCCTTCATCTTCGATGGATCAAAAGTTACGGCGGTTATAAATGCATCGCTTTTTTTCTGTTGGCCAAAAATTACTTACGAAAATTGTTATCAAAATCAGACGTCACGCGAGGATGATCCTCCAAATTAGACATTATTATTCGCTATTTCGTTTCAAAATAGCGACCGAAAAATCTGTGCCGCTATCGCCTGTGGCACTGTAAGACGGTTGTAACGATTTTAATAAAACTTTCCTGAATTTTCTTCTTGGAGCCTCATACATTTATCATAAAGAACTGGTAAAAAAGTTATGAAAATTAAATTATAATTATTAAATTGAGCCTATAGGCGAGAAGTAATGATAGAATAATTAATAAATAAATATCAAAATTAGAAATAAACTAATCTATATTTTTAAATTCTCCTTTATTAATTCCATACAGTAAACATATCAAGTTCAGAAATATTATAAACAATATAATAAAAAAAAAAAAATGTTTTCCAACACATTCATCACTACATTTCATTATTTCAGATAAGGTGGGATTATTTATTGGCAGGCAGGAGAGGGCTGGGCGGCCGTTGCCTCCCTTCAAAAAAAAAATATATATATATATATATATATATATATATATATATATATATATATATATATATATATATATATATATATATATTACAAAATGTTTTCCGAAAATCCAAGAAAAATAATTTTAAAAAGTTGTTGTTCTACGTATATATTATGTTTCTCATGAAAATATTTATAAGTTGTAATATCAATAAACTAAATAATGATGTAGAGATGGTTGACCGTTGATATAATATGAGAAGGAGTTGATCGGGGGATGCGGTCAAATAAATACTAAATTAAACAAACGGTATTATTAAAATTTTGCCGACGTTTCGACCTACTTTGCAGGTCTTCATCAGGGCTACAAAAGATACAAAACATGGTGAAAATAAAATAAATGATTTTATTCTTCTTATTTTATATCTACTTATATTCTTTTATTTTATTTTCACCATGTTTTGTATCTTTTGTAGCCCTGATGAATACCTGTAAAGTGGGTCGAAACGTCGGCAAAAATTAAATAATACTATTTGTTTAATTTATTATTTATTTATCCGCACCCCCCGATCAACTCATTCTCATAATAAACTAAATAGTATAACATTATAGGGTTTGAAACAATTTTTAAAACTGAGATTTTCCTATATTCAATCTTGATCCCCTCCTAATATGAAAGCTGCGTACGCCCTTGCCGGCAGGGGTCAACACTCGCTAGTTGGCAAAAGTTGTCACCCACACAACATATACAATAACTAGAACTACACTACTACGAAAGCAGTGAACACCATGTAGTACAGTTTACGCGATGAAATTGGCTGCAACAGATGCTGTCATGAGCGCAACTGTCACTATATAAACTTAATGGACTTAAGCAAAAAGTTGTCTCTTATTGTTTTATATTATTCACCAAAAACACCAATATCCTTCATTTTAACATTTCTATAATTTAATAAAATAGTATTAATATACCTTCTTCCAATTGGATGTTATACAACATGATCTCGATAGACAAACAAAATAAATTAAAAGATAATTAGTAGATAGGAAAGATATTTTCCTCTCTATATCTGACAATAACAGAATTTTTAAAAATGCTCTCTTATCACAATAACTTATTTTTGCACTAGTAAGCCATTTATCGAAGGATTTTAAGAGCATGAAAACAAATAAGGTAATCCAAGTAGATTGTATGTAACTAAGATACTCTGAAGCATATAAATAATATTGTTTCGTTTTCATAATATTTCACTGTTTTTTTGTCCTCTAAAAATAAATTAACTCTATGATTAATCCAATTATTAATCAAGATTTTCAATAAGCTTGACGGTCAAGGAAATAAATTCAAAGAATATCAGTATTATATATACAAATTGTATGTCCATAAATTATATATTATATAAATGTATTTAATATATCCTAATATAGTTAATGAGAAATACTTATATAATTATAAGAATAGAATATATATATTCTTTTAAACTTCATGTCTATAACTTTCATGCAATTTTGCTAGAATCTGGTTATTATTATTACGGAAAATAAAAGACAGCTTGAGAAGCATTTCAAGGTGTGGTGTATGGATTTTTTGTCAACAGGAAAATTAATAACTATTCTCAATTTGTCAATGAACTGTTCGAAAATAACATTTAGGTTGCAATATGTCTCTAAAAATATATTTTCTCTACTCCTACTTGGATTATCTTCAGAAAATTGTAAGCTTTAAGTAATGACCATAGGAAGAGACAGCAAAAAACAATCAACAATCACAATCATTTCAATCGAAAATTTTAAAACTAATAACAGATAGGTATGCCTGCGTCTAAGATGTTTATTTTCATTACTTTCTTTTTTTTTAAGATAATTTTAATTCTATTTTATTCATTTATTTTTATTCTATTATTAATATTTTCTTCCTTCACTATGATATTTTATTTTGTTCTTATTTGGCTTTATATTATTTTGAAATTACCTTATTATCTATATATTTTTTTGAATTTGTAAATATGGTGTGGATGTGCTCTCAGAACTCTATTATAAATGTCCTTTATTGAGACAGTTGGTAATATTTATCAATAAACAAATAATCCAGAAAAAAAAATAAAATAAGAGAAGATCTCTTATACATTAACAACACAACTTTACATACTAACGTAGATAGGTAGATAGATAGATAGTTTATTTTATTTGTCTGAGGAAATTCCTGTACAAATAAATATAATGGTATAATTAACAATGTTAGATCTTGAGTCTAGTACTGCATTCAAACATAACATTAACAATGTCCACAGCATTAAGTATGACTAATATAATATAATATAATAACAGATTAGCAAACGATATATATATATATATATATATATATATATATATATACATAACAATTAGTAAAACATTTTTTTTTATTTTTTTATTTATTTATTTATTATTATTATTTTTTTTTTTTTAAATATTCGAGAGGTATAAGACAAATGACAATATAAATAAGCATTAATATATGTTATATGATTAACTTAACCACTTAACAGTTCAATGTACAGCCCTGTATGAAATAATACAGTTGGTTTAGTTTTTTCGTAGTGTCTATTTTCAGTATCTCCTCCACACTAGCATCTTCTCTGGATTCAGTGATAAATGCCTTCAAGTAACTTTACATTCTAACGTACGACAACCAACTATCAACCAACACACTCTTTACACCAGATTTCATATTATAACACGGACACTACAATAGTCTTATAAACGATATGACCAGAATTTATAAGGTCAT